GCCTGCATTGAAGATACTTGCCATATTACTGCGTAATTGCTACATTTTCTCCAATTACTTCATTTCTGTTGTGTGATATCTTGGGATTTCATCTACGCCGTCTCTAAATCGGCTCCTACTGAATCATTACTCATCAATAATCAATTGACACTAAAAAATTAATAATTTCCAGTCGGTGACATTCCACAATAGCTAAGAGGGAAACAAAAGTAATTTTCGTCTCAAATTTGTTATTTTTAGTGGGTTTTATAAATGGATTTTGTGCCGGTGACTGACAGCCTGGAGATGGGCTCTCTACTCGGCACAGCACCAGCAGGCGCTGCAGCAAGGCGGATTTCGCCCACGCTGCTCCTGCCTACGTGACTCAGGGCTGACGTTCAGAGAAGGTCCTCTGAAACGAAGCCCTGACAGCGAGGCACTAGGATCCATTTCAGCTGTGAAAGGGAATTTTGGTACCACATTTTTATGGTCATTTGAAAAGACTGACTTCTAAATGGCGTCACGCAAAAGCAGGAACAGCTCTCAGGTCACCAGGATTTTTGCTTAGAGATTTTCCTCCCTCTGCCAGGTACCAAATAGACTATCTAGGAGGAAGAAAATCCCAAGAAAGCAATACACCATCTCAGTCATTGAGAGCGTGGCTTCCTGAGACAGAGCCTAGTGCAGCAATATGAATTAAAGCACTCTTGTACATCCCTGGCTCTTGGCACCCAGCTTTGTTTTCCCATCCCTACACCAAGTTATGCCATCGTTCTGGATTTTTTCCAGTTTTTTTTTTTTTTTTTTTGAAGGCAGAACAAAGCCACAGTTCATTTCGCTAGGCAACCACACAACTAGTTGCGCCAGCACAGGTGCCAGGATGACTTATCACCGAGCAGAAAAGAACCACCGTGGCAGGAGGAATGCCTGACATTGTCAACGCCCCTGAAGACTTCGGCTTATGAAGTGGCAGCCAGAGGTTCCTAAATTCCTCGTACCATGACAGCATGATTTTCCATCCTTTTTTTCCCTTACATTTTACTGCCTGGTTCCAGCAAAGATCTTTATTTCCAAACTAGGGATTTTTTTGGCTTCATCTGAAAAGATTTGTAATATAAATACACATTACGATACACAACACGTTTATTCATCAGAATGTTAGTTTAGCCTAGATAATTAGAAATCTGGGCCCTTCAGAGAAGGCACAGATTAATTTAGTCTCAAACTCTGCAGTCTAATTAGAATATAAACTCTTCCCTCAGTTTTAAAGACAACTACATTATAAATCACAATATACACACAGGCAATCCAGGAAGTATTCTAGGCTTATCGTGGGACTGCAATAAAAGATATGTTTTCTATAATTGATATATGTAGCAGATTATGATGAGGTTTAAATATTTTATATCCACAGGAACCTTCTTCCGGCACAATTTCCATGCAGACAGCCTTTAAAAAAATGTGTGTGTGCTGTAGAACTATCAACAAGAACCAAGAATACAGAAGGAAAAAGGACATTTTTGCAAACCAAAGTGCCTGTGGAAGTGACTGCCAGCCACTGAGAAGGTCTGCTGGTGAGGAGAGGCCCAGCCGCCAAGGGGCTCTTGGTCGCACGCTGGCTGCTAGGGAAGAACCACGGGGTCAAGGAGAGCGGGTGAAGCACAGGACCTAACGCGCAGGGCAGCGCTGCCTCTCTCCAGCATGGCTTAGCTATGGAAAGGCTGCGAATCAGACTATGGGGACAACTCCAAGGGTCTGATTTCTGTCCACAGAAAAAGGTTAGTTTAGGTTGGTGTCTGTATTGCAAGTACTGATCCATCAGTCCCGTTCTGAGCAATCCTGTCCAGGTAAACCGTTATTTGAAGAGCGCATGACCCTCTGCGGCCCGTCTGAGGGTCAGGAAAGCTGATTCCTGGCTCAGGTCCTCCTTTACCCTTGCTGTACAGGCTTTGCTTCTTTATCGATTACCCCCTGCCCAACTTGTTTCTGCTTCTTCCTGTCACATCAGACAAACTCCCGGACTCCTGGGAACACAGAGCGCACGGTTTTGTGGCCAGGGCAAAGGACCGAGGGGCCAGGCAGGAGCTTCCCATTTTGATCGCTGCACAGTTTTTCTGTCCGACTTCTTTAGAGTCCAACCCTCTGGGCTCCCACCTGTGCAGAAACACGACTGCACAACACTTCCCTTGAAAGCCAAAAAGCAAGTTTAGATCTTGCATATTTCAAATATTTCCTTTCAGAATTACCTGCTAACGCTCACTCTAACACGGGAGGCCTCTAGGCCATTCAACACGCAACGATCGCTCCCTCACTCTAACAAGAGGAACGAGCCCTATGCATCTGAGGAATCGGACACATTCTTGCAGGGAGGTGTTAATTGCAATTAATGTTATATAGCCATTGCTCTAGAACACCTTTGTCAAGTGGCCTGAGCTGGTCTCAGTTTAAACTTCCAAATTTAAACAATCAGAAAACTACACACCCTTCTATCACTAAATAGTTGTTAACTTCAGGACTATCCAAACAAACCATGAGCAGACCTTTGAGGACCTAGGCAAAGCAAGTTTAGTCCTCATGTAGATTTCCTCTCTGTTTCTCATCTCCTTAAAGGAAAAAAAAAAAAAAAAAAAGCAAAGCAAAACAAAATCCACTGCCCTTTCACACATGGTACTGACAATATCTGGTGATGGACCTTTTCCTGGACTGACACGCCATCACTGAAAATAGTTTTAACACTTCCGAGAGCTTCGGTGGGCCAGGCAGGTTCTGTCTTTCTGTTTTTCCCCACAACAACCAGAGAACAAAACAGATTCATAAGAAGATGTCAACACGGCACCCAGCTACTCCGGCGTTACAAGAAGCCGCCATTTGCTGCTTAACAACTAATGCACTACAGAAGATGTAAACATGGCTCATTTTTTAGTTTGATCATTTGTATCGTGTAACTTAAAAGAAAGTGGCAAGCTGTATAAACTTATGCCCTCCACGGACTGTACAACTACAGAAGCTGCATGAAACACCTCTGAAGCACACAGCAACCAAGGAAGAAACCCTAGATGAATTAAATGGTGACAATCGAAACAAAATCTGAAAACGCAACACAGCCTTCAAGACATGAGAAACATTTAGAATGAAAAACAGTTCTGAAGAAAGAAATGAATTAATTTTCTAGCTATTTGTATAAATTTCTTTGGATTTTTCTTCCGGCACTTTTTCCCCCCCACATGCAGTGAGGTGAAACCTTCTCTATTTCTCTGTTCTTTCAATCAAAAACTGAAAAATGATTTTTCTTTCGATAAGATTAGTGCCTCTGAACTGAACTTTTACGAGAATCTTAGCTTAGCCCCCCCATCTTAGATGAGATGGGATAACCAAATATTCACACGTAAAATCAGCATGACTAAATATGTAAAAGCTACTGATGAGCCTGATATTCTAAAATGCATATAATGGAAGAGTTAAGGGCATTTAGAAGTATCATTAACTTCATCTCAGGGTAAAACCGGCAAGTTACTCAGCACGGAATGATTTACTAAAGCAACTGAACAAAAGATTTTAGCTGATGCAATTTTACCCTCATTGCCTCCGCTGCAACAGATAATTTGCTGCTGGCAGCATGAACAATGAATGATCGCTGCACTTCACTACACCGTGTAGAAGCTTGTGAGAAAACCAAGAAAGGACCAGAAAATAATTCTATTATAAATACATGCTTATTATCCAGATCCCAGCTCTCCTAACCCTTTACAGGATGTCCTTCAATTCTACAGCTTTCATCTCAGACAAAAGATGATAATTGGACTCTGGACATCCACATGTCAAAAGCATGGACCTACGGCCTGTTCTAATTAATCTTGGAAACACTGATTCTAGAGTCAAAACTTTTCAGAAAATGAATTAAGCAGGCCGAGATGGTCTGTGTGTGTATATCAATGACCCCAGAAGAGGACATTCAAAAATAACCAGTGAGGGGCACAGATCTCATGGTTGCAAACAACTGCTGCGCCTGTCTTTAAGAATGACAGAAAAGACTACAACGGACAATTATTTGATTATTTTTGCAACAGCCTAGCTTGTTTGTATAAACTGAAGAAGATTCATAAGAACAGTTGTCGTCGCTTATCAGCTTGCCTCAGCTGCCTAAGAACCAATAATTATGGCCAAATATTGTTTGGATAAAAGGATTATAACATGTATCAACAGTATTAAGTCTGAAAAACAACACCACTGTCACAGAGAGAGACTAGTACAACAGAGTAGGAGTGAAGTGAAAACAACCAGTATTTTTGTTAAGTGTTTTTCTGTTTGTTATTTTGGTTGACTCGGGGTGCACGGCTCATAGAGGAGAGCGCAATGGAGACACTCAGACGCGCACTGTGAAAGGTTTCCTTGCTGAGCCCCAGTGTCGCACACGCGGTGCCAGCCCAGGCCGGCGTCCCCGCCGAGCTCTGCCGACGTGCCCAGGCACACCGCGCTTCAGCCGGTCTCACGTTCTCGTCTGCGTCCAGCTTCAGCGGAGACCCGCACCTCCAGATTTCACACAAACCAGTCTGTTCGCCCAGGACAGCCAGCAGGCACGGCTGCGGGCGCATCCCCTCCGGCGACTCTCCCGTGGTCCAAACCCACATCCAAGCCACGTTTGTAGCTTAACAGCGCCGGATGCCAGGAACACGGCCATCACCCCGTCCGCAGGCACCAGCTCTCTGGCTGGCTCAGAACGACCGTACGAGAAGCGGAGACCTACGTGACTTAACTCAGCTGAGCTGAGCTGAGCAAAGCCCTAGCGCAGCAGCACCCGCCGTTACCCAGGGCCGCGGCACCACGCGCTGAGCCAGTTCTCTCTCTTACAGTCACTGCTTATTCTGTCATTTATTTTCTTACCATATGTTGACAAACACTATAGTTAGAGGCTCTGGGAAAAGCGCACCAAAAAAATATTCTCTCAGACAAACAAGAGAAATACTGGACATAACCAGGAAATGGAGAGCAACAGAAAAAAAAACACATAAAATTTGGCTTACTTCTCTATTAAATCCAGCGTGACTCCTGGCACCAGTCTGACACTCTTCTGCATACAAAACCTGTGGAGAAGAGAATAAAAAATAAGTCATCCTAATTAAATATTTAATGACACGGCTTTGTGAATATGGAAGAAGGTTTCTTTATTACAGTGTTTCTGCTTATAAAATAGTGTCTGGATAAAAAACCTTGCCACAGCATAATAAGAATCAAATAATGCCTTCAATATTTGTCACATTCATGATTATGCAGTGATTTCCATCATCGGGTGTCAAAATTGTGGTATTGTAGCTGTCACAGTGACAAGTTTTCCAACACAGAAAGGGGAAGGAAAAAAATAAAAAAGGTTCACTGTCCTCTGGCACAGTCTCTCGGGAGGAGCGAGGAGCCACGAAAGCTGAACC